TGGACGTTTGAGAAGTACAAGTGAACCCACAAAGATAAAGTACACAGTCCAGTGGCCAGCAGGTGACAAGTACTCTCTGAAGGTGGTTTTGGAAATGGCAAAAGACTAATATTAATTAAGAGCAGATTATATGCTAGGTGTTGTATACCCACTATCTTACTGAATGCCTATCACTCCACTGTAACATTACTACCCCCATTATATAGAAGCATAAACTGAGGCCCAGAGACATTAAATAACAAACTAAATTTGCTAATGTGGGTAAGGGGTGATGATTGAAATGCTCCATCTAGCTCCAGAAAAATATTTTTTTCTACTCAGTAACACAGCCTGTAGACTGAATGGTGGGCTCACAGGGGTGGATCTACTAAGGCATCGCCCACCCACCTTTGATTGAAGCCCAGTGAAGGGGGGTCCGGTCATTCCAGTCGACATCCTTGTAGTTTGGGTCACAAAGACCTTTCTTCAAAATCCTCTTTACTAAATTGTAGTCCCGCAGAGCCACAGCTTGGTGGAGCTTTGTCAGGTTTGATATTTTGGTCAATTCCATGACAGAAACTGTGGGAGAGACACGTCATTTAGGAAATTCGATTACAGTCCTTAATTCCTAGCAAGTGCTCCACAGAGTTTTGTGTTGTGGATTTTCTTTCCTGCCTCATGCATTTGCGGCTAGGATTGCCTGGTGTGTGGTCTCTGCTGAATGTGGACTTGGATCTTAGCTACTGTGGTTACTGCATGCCAGTCCCCTACCCCCAAAACTACTGATGGCTCCCACTGCACACTGAATTATGTCTACACTCATGGACTGGCCTCAAACCACCTTCCAGCACTATTTCCCACTCCCACTTCAAAATTCTAGTAGTGTTACCTAAAGTTATTTATATAATTCTGTGTCTTTCTCATCTGTAGAATGGGTATAAACATCTAGGATTATGAGACAATGAGAATCCATGTGAAAGGTATGTACTGGGCCCAGAGCTCTATGGAAATTAAATACTATTGCACACCAGGTGGGGAGGGGGCAACACACAAACAGACAAATAACATAGCTAAAAACTGGTATTAATATTATGCCTTAAAACAGTAGTTCTCACGTTGTAGTCTAAGATGCTTAGAAATTCCTTAGACTTCTTCAGGGAATCTATGAAATGAAAAACTATTTCATTATAATATTAAGATGTTCTTGGCCTTGTTCCCCTTGATGACAATTTTCCTGATGGTTCCAAAGAGAAGGCAGAGAAAACTTTCCTTCATAGAAAGTTAGGCTGTGACAGCAAACTGGACTGTAATCAAGCTGTTCACCACACCCTCCAAGAAAAAAAAAAGGCCAGTTTCATAGGAACATTCTTAACGAATCAATAAAAATTATGTTTATTAGATCCTACCATTAATCATGTGATTCAATAAATGCAATTTTAAGATATTGTGTAATGAAGTATGTCAACATTTGGAAAATGTTCTTCACCCCCTGGACCAATATTTTTCATACAACAAGTGGAGGATGTTGCAAAATCAGACATGAGTAAAGAGATCCATTCAAGATGGAAAAGACTTTAATAAATCAGAGTAAGGAAACTGCCTGGATATCACTTCAACTCCACATCGAAACTAAAATGTAGGGCACTACTATCTGTCTAGTTTGGGTGTAGTATCAAAGGAGAAAATCCACAATTATGTGGAAATCTATAAAATACTTCTCTCTTTCTAACTTTATATCTGTTGGAAGCCAGATTTCTTTATACACTTCCAACAGAACAAAGTGAATGTAGAAACTGACCCAAGAATCCAGATGTCTTCTTATTAAGCCAGTGATTTTAAAAGGTTAAAAAAAAAAAGGTAAACCAAGCTCACTCTTTTTACATTTTTTGTTATTCTGGAAAATATAATTTTTTTCATGAAGATATTACTTATGTTATTATGTAATAGATTTATTGCAGCTTTTGTAAATGAATTAACATTTTAAGATATTCTTAGTTTTAACTTCTAAAAGCATACATATTGATAGATATAATCCACATACATGAATGCTTTCTGGGGTTCCCAATCATTTTTAAGAGTGTAAAGAAGTTCTGAGACTAAAAAAATAATAAGTTTGAGAACTGGTGATATAAAACAGATATGGAGCTGAAATGGACAACAAGAGTGCAGAGAGGGCCACAGGAGTTGTGGCCATTGAAGATACCTCTGATCTCAAGTTTGAGATGGGACTGGAGTTCACCCTACAAATTGTGACTAGCAGCAGCAGCAGCACCACCAAAGATTTATAAGAAGTGCAAATTCTTGGACTCAATCTCAGACCTACTGAAGCTCTAGGGTGGAGCCCAGCCAAAGTTGTTGTAAGCCCTCCAGGTATATCTGATTCACATTGGAAAGTGAGAATAGCCCTATAGCCTGAGAGACAGAGAAGTAGCATAATAAAAATGCAATGGTATGTGAATTATAGTCAAGTTGGCAAGTGACCGTAGAGGATCCCAACCTAAGCACAGCACATTGGTGGCCAGGATTGCTTATACTGAAGTGTAAGCAGCTCCAACAATAATGTCCCTCAGTCTTGAGGGTTGGCAACCTTTTTCTGTAAAAATCCAGACAGCAATATTTTTATACCAAGAGACAAAATCAAGACTACTAGTGGGAACTTAAAAGCAAGTTAAATAACAAGAGTAAAAATCCATGTCCTACCCTTTCCTATTTGCCTGCAATAGTTGTTCCATCGTCTTTGTTCCCAGTAACCCTCAGCTGGAGACATTCACAGGGCAGAGAGGATGGGCCTCAGCAGAAAGGCATTGTCAGTGGGATGCTCAGTTTCATTCTCTGCCTTATTGCTACTCAGATTCCAGTGAGCTCTCTCTCCTCCTGGAGAGGTTGGCAATCCCACGTTGGTAGCTGGCTGGAGAAAAAGCAGCTCAGAGTCACCAACTCTCTTATTAAGATTCCATTGTGGTCCCAGCAGCTGCCAACAGCAAATTCCTCCATGCTGGAACAACTTGCACTTTGGAGTATGTGCCTTTGGCCCTCCATGTGCCGTGCCTGTGTTTGAAATCCTTTACCAACATCACCAGTGGGCCCTGAGCAGTGAATAGGCACAGCTACAAGTGGCAGAGGCAAGTGCTAGGAGCAAAATAGGCATCAGGGATAAAGGGAGAAGCATGCACTTGCTCTTGGGGCCTCACAGCACTCGCCCATGGAGGCCTGACACCTTAGGTGGTAGCCACAGGCCTACAAAATAGGTATGAGCCAGATCCAACTTTTAGACCTGAGTTTAGCAGCCTCTAGTCTATACAAATTATTTAGTAATCTTGTTTAATTGCAGATTCTGACACAGTGGATCTGGGATGGGGTCTGAGAGTCTGCATTCATAACAAGCCCCCATAGCAGTTCTAGTTCATCTTTGAGTAGCCATATCTCTCTGGCTGAAAAGTAGGAGATAGATTAGCAGGGAACACGATTGGAGACCTGAGAGGGAAGCAAGGAGACAGCAGTTGGTCTCCACTGAGAAGCTCCATAGAATTGTCAGTAGATTCTTAAAAACAAAGATGCCTCTACCTCAGCCCAAAGTGAATCAGAATCTCTAAGTGTGCAAAACAAGGGTTAGGTGTTATAGGATATAGGTGCTCAACACATGTCTTGCCGGGTAACAGAGAAGATGGCACAAACTGCATTTTAGTTTTTAAATTTGCTTTACTAGAAAACACTGGATTTGATTAATAGTAAAAATGGTAAACAAAAACACTAGTATTTCTAATCTGCAAGTGTCACTAAAAGCAAAACCATTTCTCAATCAGTGTCTAGGAGCCTTTTCATTTGCCTTCCATACAAGCTTTTGAGCAATTTTAGACTAAACCTACCCTGTTTGTTCCACATTCAAGTTGATACTGAAGTGATTGCACAACTTCCTATGAATGTGTTGTAATTCAAGTAGAAATTTTCATTGTGCAGCAAAATGTTTTTTCCAGAGAAATTGAAAAGCTGATCCTAGAAGATTCTATGGAAGTGCAAGGAACCCAGAACAATCAAAATAATCTTGAGAAAGAATGAAGTTGGAAGACTCATACTGCTTGACTTCAGTTAACACTCCAGGGCCAAGCAATGGGAAAAGAAAACTCTTTTGATAAATGGTGCTGAGACAATGAGATATTCACATACAAAGAAATAAAGTTGCTTCTCCACCTCCCAAATATTTATTACTCTAAATTTCCTTTGAAAGTTTTGCAATTTGAGCCTTACATTTAGGCCCAAGACCCATTTTGAGTTTATATAGGGTAGACTTGTCAAAAAATAAGCATATATGTCAGAATTTATTTTTAGACTCTCAGTTCTACTCTAGTGCTCTAGATTTCTATTCTTGTGCTAGTACCACCATAATCTTGGTTATTTTAGCTCTATAGTAAGTTTTGAAATTAGAAAGTATAAATTTTCCAGGGCTGGGGTTGTGGCTCAATGGTTGAGCATTCATCTAGCATGTGTGAGGCACTAGGTTCAATCCTCAGCACCATATAAGTAAGTGAATAAAAAAATAAAGGTCCATCAACATCTAAAAAAAATTTTAAAAAAAGAAAGTATAAATTGGGGTATATATCCACAATAATGAAAACATTCAAATAAAAATTTATACATAAATGTTCATAGAATCATTATTCAATGGCAGATGAAAAATGGAAACATCCCAAATACCCAGCAACAGATGAATGGATAAATAAAATGTGGAATATCCACATAATGAAATATTATTTTATAATGAAAAGGAAGGAAGTACTGAGACGTGATTCATGGATGAATCTTGAAACATGCCAAGTGAACAAAGCCAGTCATAGAAGATTGGATACTTCCATTTATGTGAAATGCCCAGAATAGGCAAATCTATAGAGACAAAATGTAGATTATTAGTTGCCTAGGGCTGGGACCTGGGTGGGTAGAGGAAAGACTGCTGGTAAGCACAGGACTTCTTTTTGGAGTGATGAAATACTTTAAAATTAGATTGTGGTGGGTAATGGTTTCACAACTCTAAAATATTCTAAAACCACTGAATAGTACATTTTAGATGGATTCAATTTTTAGGTATGTGAATTATAGCTAAATAAAGCTATTTGTTAAAAATAAACAACTATTAGAAGTTTTTCTTTAAAGAACAAAAATGCAAACTTTATTTGCAAATTTATGTATATAATTCACTAACTTGTCATTGGCCACTGAAATCTGGCAAACTCTCCGTGACATGAATCCTTATGAATTTGGTTAAGTGCACTTGAATTCCTATCTTTCTGGTAGATGTGTGTCAATTTGCAAAGTAGTTCACCAATACAGAGGCTAATAAGTGAGTGATCTGTATTACTATAGTAAATAAGAGAGGGGTAATGTAAAAATACTTACAGGCTTGTATGAAACCCAGGGAGCTCTTTGCTTGTATGAAACCCAGGGAGCTCTTTGCTTGTATGAAACCCGGGGAGCTCTTTTCAGGAGCTTGAACTGCCTGGAGTATTGTTGTGCTTACACCATGGAAACTGACCCTTCCTTCCTCATGAAAGCTTGCCAATTAAGTTCAGCTTCCCTAGGTATCTGGTGGAGTGGGATTGCCGCTCTACTTCATATCAAAACTCTTTAGCAATTCTACCTTCTACTTCAGTCCTAATGTGCCGGACCTCACCAGGTTCTTTCAAATAGTATTTGATTATTTTTTAAAAAATTATTTATAAATTAAATTAAAAATTTAAATTAAATATTATTTAAATTAAAAATTATTTAAATATTATTATTTTTTAAAAAACAGTTTTCAATCCACAGGCTGTGAAGAAGGTCAGCTGTTTAGTAGTCACTTAGACACAGGAGATGTCTGACCTCCGTGGTGTGGTGGGGAAAGCATGGGACCCTCTCATTCAGAACTGGCTGTGAGATCTTTGGCAAATTCCTTAACTTTGCAGAGCTTCTTTTTTTTTTTTTCTCATTAATAAAAGTGGAATAATAATCTCATTGATTAACTGGAATAATTTATAAATCATCTGATATAGGGTAGATTCCTAAACAACAATGACAAAAAGAACAAAAACATCTATAGTGCTTTCTCCTTGTCTCTCCTTTCCCCCCCTTGCTGAAAGCAAGTATCTATATTTATGATCTCACTGATCGGAAAAGCCTTCTTCCTTACCCTCTCCCCTCCCCTCCCTTCCATCCTCTCTTCCTTTTCCTCTCTCTTTCCTTTGCTCCATTTGTCTCCCTACCTTTCTTCCCATATATATTTATCAAGTGCCCTTGTATATGCCAAACACTCCACTGGGCCCTGTAGGGAAAAGACACTCAGTGCTCCTGTCTTCTTGGAGCTTCCTTTAGCCTTTGAACACAGACTTGCACTGCAGACTTGCACAGACAACTCTATAGGAAGCTTCTGGGACTTCGACTTAGACTGGGGCTGCATTCTTGGTTCCCCTTGTTCTGAGACTTCCAGCTTCTTAGACCGGGCACTTACTTGTTTCTGGGGCACTTTATCCTGCAGACAGCCATCATGGGATTATCCAGCCTCTGCTAGTATAAATTAATCTGATAAACCCTTTCTTGTAATTATATATTCTGCTTCTCCTGATGCTAATAGAGGAGGTGACATTTCAGCAGAGACCTGGCATAGGTGAAGAATCCAGGCATCTGAGGATCTGGGGAAGGGGGTCCACACAGACAGCAACACAGCTTGGCTTATGTGAGGAATAAACAAGAGGAAGATGCTGCTGGTTTATGAAGTATAGCAAGTAGAAGAAGATGAATTTAGTATAGAAAAGTGCTAAGTTGGTTAGAGTTTTCTGGGATAGGGTGAGGAATTTGGATTTTATTCCAAATACAAAGAGTTGAAAATTGAAAAAAAAAATTGAAAGATTTTTAACAACAAAGATGGTGCAGCTTAAATTTTCTGGAGAGGTTCCTTTAGCTCTATATGGAGAATGGTCTAAATGAGACTGAAAAATGGGACTGAAAGCAAGAGGACCACAGAGCAGGCCACTGCAGAAGCCCAGATAAGAAAGAGTGGTAACCTGGTGGATTGTGGCCATAGGGATGGAGAGAAACGAGTGAAACCAAAGTTATTCAGGAGGGAAAACTGGCAGGAGTTGTCAATGTAGTACACACGAGTGGTGAGGGAACAGAAGGAGTCAAGATGGCCCTTGGAAACTGACAACACTGGTGTTGTAAAAGGGAGTGGGGTGGGGCCAGGTGGGGCCAGTAGAAGAGTAATATAAAATAAGGGTTCTGTTTGATGTATGTTTGAGATCCATGCAAGACATCCAAATATCAAGCAGGAAACCAGAGTTCTGTAACTTTGGGGTTAAAGTTACATATTTGAAAATCACCAGCACATGAGTGATACTTAAAGGTGTAGATAAGATCTAACATAATCTAAGAATATTAGATGAAGAGAGGGGCTCCAAGCCTTGAGGCCTTTCATTCCCTGGGATCTGGTAGCAAAGGAAGAATTAGTAAATATTTCTAGGGAGGAAGGATGGGACCTGGGAGAACATAGTCACACAAAAGGGAGTGGTCAGCCATGTCAGAGGACAGAATTTAAAGGTGTCTTTTACAAGCCATAACTGATGCCTAGGAGAGACTGCATCAGCACCCTTATCACTCAGAGAACTTAGTGTTCCATCTCCCTTTCAAAGCTTTGTAACAGTTACAGAGCAGCCTGATTTCACTGGACAAATACTTGCTGAGTAGCTACTATATGTTGAGTGAAGCAGGGGAACAAGGACTGAGTTCCCTGGTGATAAGGGACAAAGCAACTTGAGATAAGGGATGAAACTGGTGAGAAACTACAGCTGTTGGCATCAGTAAACTGCATGTGTTTGGGGTCCCATTCCCTCTGATACCCTATTATGTGTTTCCTTCCCCTAAAAAAAGGTGTCTGACACCAAA